AAAAATCCAATTCGCTAATTTTATGTTTTCTCGATGTTTCAAGCCATTCAGAATCGAATGAAACTAAATTTGGAAAAAGTATGTATGTATGTGTGTATGTGTATGTAAACAGATTTTTTGCCGTAAATCAACGTTTTTTCAAAAACAGCTGTATCTCCATGAGGACTAGCGTTTGTAAATCGCAGAAAAGTGAAAAATTTTTCGTCCAAGATCTGCCAAGGCATTTCTTTGTAATTTGGAAAAAGAGATAAACTTTTCATCACATTTAAGCTCATACTAACGAATCGATTTTAAAAAATCAAAAACTGTTCAAAAGATATTAGATAAAGTTGGGAATGATACTGATTAGTTTTAGGTGAAAATCTACCGAGCCGTTTTCTTGTAATTAACTGTTGAAAAAAAAATTAAGCCGATTTTTATGGATTTTCTTTTGGCGATATATATCATGGTCTTATAGAACTTACTGAAATACTACAGCCTTAAGACAAGTAGTTTAAATTTAAAAATTTATCAAAGTTTAAGAAAATGAGTAGTTTTTTTGACGTTTGTTAAAATTAAAATTAGATGATTTACTTGGTATAATAATAGAGCGTTCGTTCGTTTTCAACGTTGTGTAATAAATCCTCGGAATACTTTTAATCACTCATAAATTAACTTATATTTTATTGATTAAGTCGATTATTTACACATATCGGGAAGTTCATGTAACTTGCCTCAAGGCAAAATACCAATACCAACTAGTTTCTATTTAATTTTGTATGAATTATTAATTTTAGTCTTTCATTGCTGTATTTTTGATTATGTTTTCCTAGATGTAGGCATGTTTTATGTGATTAAAATTAGTGATAGTATGGAATTCAGAATTGCTACAAAATATTTTGTAATATTTTTGTTTATCTTGTATAATTTATTAATTACAAAATAATATTTGAATACTATTCCACTCTATATTTATTCGAAAACAGTTTAAAGTACAATACCGTTAATATGTTCTGCTATATTTGTAAACTACATATTAGCTTTGCCATTAAAGTATTATTATCTTCAATGCGGGTATGTATAGTTTCTGATCTGGTTTGTAAAATTGCGATAACTCCGGCAAATTTGCAATTTAATAAATAAAAAACAAACGATATGTCCTTATGCTTTACTGCTAAAACTTACGTCTGAAAGATTTTAATTGCAGCAAGCAATGAAAAAAAGCTTTAAAAAGCGTCTATATTTTATTAAGATTTATTGTCAAATAAATAGATGTTTCCTTATTAAATACATGGCAGTTTTAGTGTTCCATGATCAAATTCCCAATTTTAATAAATACTGGAGCATTATCGTAGACCAATTCCATATTGGAAAATAAACTTTACACAGGTTTTCTTATTTTTGAATCATACCTGTAATTTATAATCTTTAACACCAGTTTCATTTGCAATACAATGTCATTTAGGATAGCCATATTTGAGAAAATTATTTTCATCTGCGTGGAAATAGTTCTGATTTTTCCATTTATTTTTGGCTTATAGTGGCATTAGTAATTTTTTATGTTCTGTTAGGCTGTTAGGTTTCACTCGGTTGTGTATATAATACTTTCGAAAAAAATATTCTAAATTAGTGGTGTTCAGGAGCTAAGCAAACATAATAATTTATACTTTGCAATCCATATTTTATCTAAAATGATTGTGTAGAAATGATGCATTAATATTGCAGTTTGCTTGAATAATACGAGTTTATTGTACAAGGGTAATTTGCTCACAATATTAGTGCTCGTTGAAACATACTATCAATTTGATAATTGATAGGTAATCATAAATTGAGTTTCTTTACTATTTCATACAACTCGACGTTAAAGGTTTTTAAAGTCTTTATTTTCAACCTATTTATTTTTACCATTTCATTATTAAAGATTTTTGTATATGATGAAATGACCTCCATATGTCTGAATCTGATTACGATGTATTATTATATTATTATTTGACTGACGGTGTTTCTTGAATAAATATACTCGATCTGATTCACACACAATTTATGACAAGTTACAATTTTATTGTTAAGAGTGAGAAGATGTACTGAACATGATAAAAATTTGATTATGTCATATATAAAACATAAGATGTGCTAGTTTTGAACACATTACTCTCATGGGAACTTGTTAAATGTCAGTTGAATTACATTTGTTAATGTTAATATTTGTAGTTTAAGTTTTCTTTAATAACGCTTTGTTGCTTTTTCATGTGTTGATTTTCAATTGATTGATTAATGATTGCATATTACCAGTATTATGGATATGTGTTTTATCATTTCTGTTCATGAAGATATAGTAAAAATAATTTTAAATCAAACGATATAGAAATACTTAAAATATTATTTGCAACTAAAACCATTTTACGTTTTATTTAATCTTATCACCATTTAATGGTATATTTTGCAAAAATGAGATGTTAGTTAATAATAGTAAATGTGTATATAGGGAATGAGTATTCTCAATCTCGATGTTATAAAATTATTATGGTAAAGCGGGGCACAAAGGTCCAATTTTACTTTTAGCAACTATGCCGTGAAAACCGAACCGACTACAACACAACAAATTATACATATTAAACAAATTATGGTTATTACATATACATATTAAACAAACTATGGTTATTAGAGTTCCCAATTAAATTTTTTGTTTATTAAAATTCATCATTGTAAAAATATGTTTTTTCTTACTATTTTTCAAAAATTTGTAATCTAGTCCTTTCTACCCCGTCTAAGGGACATCCAGGAGATAAAGAGATCCGCCACTATATTTTCAATTTTAAAAGTTTAATGATTAGGTTGAACAACAAAATTAAAAATCACAATCTAAATATGTATTTCCAAACATGATAAACAAAAAAAGCAACTCTTAATACTATCATAAATCTTGATTTGTTAGGCATTTATGTTTAATTTATCATAATCACACTCATTGTAGTTTGAAATACAATTATTACAAATAAAGTGAATACAACTTCTGTTTGCAATACATATTTTGTGGACACATTTTTTATAAAGATCTCACTGGATGATACAATTTTTGTATGGAACTTTGTCAGAAGTTTTATCATCGGAGTTGAAATAACTATTAATTCAATTTATCTTTTGTAAAATTGCTTCTTTTAACTTATTTTACATTTTTCTAGTTGACATATCATTACATTACATTTTCTAGTTTAGATGTCCCTTTTTACTCCAACCATATGTAAGATACTTTAGAGATTATTTAAAATAAACTGTTGAATCTAGCTTAAAAATAACAAATCATCGAAACAATTAAAAAATAACACATTAAAAAATTATATTTAGACCGTGCTCAAAAACAAAAAAAAATTTGTTACAAATTTGACAATTTGGTCGTGTAATTAGTGGTAGCGTAGTCGCCCAATTTAAGGGGGTTGTTCTTTTTTTATATTTTTTTGTTTCGGTTTTGAGATTTTTTGATATTATGAAAGCTAAAAACCTTAGAATTATTTAAAAAAAAAAAATCATCTCAATATCTATTTTTTTGAAGAAGTTATAGATATATATATATCTCTATACGTATGATCCTCTGAAAGCGTTTTTTTATCGTTCCGCGAGCTATTGTATGCCAGCTGCCTCTTTTTCATTATAATACATCATGCACATGACCTTTTTAATGTGTCAGCATCTTTGAAGACCATGGTGTATTTCGTACATTAAACTAAATGGTGTATTTAGTACATTATATTAAAAACTTTAAATACGTTTTTCTCAAATTGACTTTTTTCAATGCGGTGCCACAAATTAAAAAAAAACTACAAGTCGGATCGACTTGCATTTTTTTTAATTTGTTCACCACTGCAATACCTAGTCCCCCTACCTCAAACAACTTCATAACATTACGCAAAAAAATTTTGCAAACCTTCTCGTCCCAAAACAAAGGCCTTTTTGGACACTTTTTTTTTAAATAGCTGCCATTTTTTTCCTTCTTGCTTTTTTTCTTTCATTTTGGTAGGGGGACTGGATTCAAACTTTTTCTTCAACGTAGTTTCGTTTTTTTTTGTTTCAGGCGATGCGCAGCGGATTTATCTGTGGCACCGCAAACGAGATCGATTTTGCAATGCCCACTTTGGCGCCCCCTGGTTGAAAAATTACGGCGATAAAAATAAATAAAAAATTTCTTAATATTCTATGATTTTGTAATTTTTGTTTAAAAAAAACCGCATGTCTTTATAATAAATACATTTTGAGAAAAACAAAAACAAATACCTTGCATGTTTTGTAACAAAAAAAAGAACAACCCCCTTAAGGCGATGGCTGATTACACATTTTTGCCCTCTACTTTCAAATATTGTTATTAAAAAGAAATCAAATTTTACTGCAGACTTTTAAGTCCCGTTTTACCCTAAGTGTTCATAGATTGAAATAAAACATTTAATTAGAATTAGCTTTTGAGTATCAAATTTATTTATACACTTCATAAAATACATCTGCAAGTTATAACAATTTATCTATTTGCAAGCAATAAATACATTCTTTTCTACTATATAGAAGAAAATTTAAATGATTAAATAAAAATCAATTATACGGTGAAAGCAAAAATTAATTAAAACTTTCCAATTTCTTTTAAGGAATGACACAAGTAAAAAAATATCTTTATTCCCGCGAAAATTGTGCGATCAAAAGAAACTTTAGAAAAACTAAAATCATCATTAGCTATAAATAAAATTTTAAATCAGTTTGCCGAAAAAATGGCAAGAGGAGTGTGTATTCAGTTTGAATTCTTTGTAAAAGTTTTGAAAAAAGTAAGAGATAGATAATTATGATATTATAATATTTTTTGTGAGAAATATATACACTTTTTAAAGCGTCCCCAAACGAACCTGAAGACATGCTCTGCTTCTGGAAAAGATATTAAAAATTATTACCAAACCAATATTTTTTATTTTCCAATTTTTACCACATTTGAAGTTTCAGTCAATGTAAATACATACTAATAAATTCATCATTTTACATTACAGGCGGCGCTCTGCTGCATTTTATTCGTAGTGTGTATAAGGGCGCAGGTGAGGGAATGCCAAGGAAGTTCTAGGGGCTTGAAATACGTTTGGGGAGATGCACTTACAGATCCACCAGACTGCCTGGGACCAGATAATTTACCATATCCCGCGTAAGTTGTTATTTTATATTAGCATATATATTTCAATCATTTTAAAGGATCCGATGATTCAATATTTTATAGACGGACCTTTAGCATTGAACAACTTTTGCTATGACAATATCAATATTACGTATAAATGAATTAAAAAGCATTCTTTAAGTTATTATTATTTTTGATTTTACTAAAAATGTTAATCAAAAATTTACCATAACAAATATGTAATATTTTTATTTGCAAGTTTTTTATTTTTAATGCATAGGGTACCGAACTCTGTATCAGATATTTAAATGTCCTTTCTCAAAGTTTTTTACAAGAGTTTTACCGGTTGTGATCTATGCGTATATTCAAATATTTTTATGTCATAAACTTTTATCTCACTTATAATATGCAATATAAGTAAAGGATTTCATATCCTAAATGCCAGTTCAAAATCTAGCCTCGTTTTGCAAAATTATTTTTCGATATTATGATTTAAATTAACTGTTTTAAATAGAATAACATTTGCTGAGCATCGCAGGGCTTACTTTTGTATTCTGTACAAAACTGTGATAAATCATGTTAATATGTACTAACATTTTTAATCGTTTTATATACTTATTTAAATTCTCTAGTTAAAAATTATATACAGTTTTATTACAAAATTGTATTTTTAACTTCCCGTAGGGCAAGTTATAGTAATCGCAAAAAAATCGAAAATGAAAATTTTTATATATCTTTACGATTCAAAGGTTTCTGAACATTTTGGCATACCTTAGAAAAAATGGATGTATGTGTGTGTGTGTGTGTGTGTGTGTGTGTATGTATGTATGTATGTATGTATGTGCGTGTGTGTATGTATGTGCGGATACAAATTTTCGTCGACGATTTCGGGAACACGGATCAACCGATTTGAATAATTCAAAAAACATTCGATTCGTATTGATAAGGAGACGTGCTGATTAGTTTTTGGCGAAGGCAGGTCTAGCCGTTCCGAAGATACGGGGCAAAAAGTGCCGAAAACGGTAACTCAGTTTTTAAGAGAACGGAGCCGATTTGAATAATTCAAGAAGCATTTCACTTGTATTGACAAGATAAAGAATCGATAAAATTTTCATGAAGGTAGGTCTAGCGGTTTCGGAGATATGGAGGAAAAAGTAAAAAAATGAGCCATTTGGCGGTCAAAAATGATCATTAGACATATGCACATCAAATTATGAGATATTTTACAGCGATTTTAACAATAAGTATACATTTTGTTAACATTCCTATGGGTTCCGTACCAATGCTTATGCGTTAGACAGCGACGCGGCGCTTACGCGCTTTATATTTTGTCCCTATGCAGTTAAAGCAGTACGATTGCTTTGAAAAAAAGTTCAGATCTTTCACAATATGTCAAAATAAAGAAAAAAAAATTATTTTTTTCAAAAAAAAAAAAAAATTTATTATTTTTTTTTAAAAAAAAAAAAATTTCAAAAAGAAGTAATTTTTTGTCCAATCTATAGTTTCTCAAAAATCTTATTTTTTCAAAGTAATTTTTTTTCATAAATGTTAAAGGTTTTTAAAAAAATAATAATTTTTGGTACGGGAAGTTCCAGCAATTTGCCTTGAGGCACGATGCCTTAATTGCCTTAAGACAGAATTCCACTTACAACTAGTTAATATTTTACTTTTCTATTGTGTATCTATAATATTTAAAAAAAACTCAATTTAATAATTTTTGCCCATTGCTTAAGCTTGTTCCTTAAGCAACATTATAATTTTTATTATAATATACCATACAACAAAGCTGAAATAGTGAGAGGACCAAATTATAATTGAACTTGAATTCAAATGCATGCGTCAATAATTGTAATTATGATTATGAATTTTAGTTGTGTAAATGACATGTTTTTCAAGACTTAACAGAATTTCAAAAAAAAATAGGATTATATTCGTAAACGAAATAATTAGGTTCTCAGCAGCGATTTTCTATAATTTAAATTAGTTATAAATGATTGTAATGAATCATATTTTTGATTAATTCTTTTGAATTTCACGTGAAAGATTTAAAGAAAGATCTATTAATAAATAACAGTCATGTCCGACCGTTTGAAAGTTTTAACTTCTTTTACTCCAAATAAAGAGCAACATGTAGAATAAATGTTGATAGTCACAAATTAATAAAATAGTTGTTGCAATTTTATCAAAAAAAAACTTTTTATGCTCACGTATAAATTCGTACTATTTTTGCCAAATCGTTATAATAATGTAATAGTTTGACTAACAATAAGTATTAAAATCTTGCTGTGGATAACAGATTATTTGAACGAAGTACATAAACACATGTCTAAGAATGAACTCAACAATCTGAGATAGAAATCAACTCAACATTACGGATTTTTTAAAATACCTTCAATAGTTTGTTTTACAAAAATTAAAAATTTTGACTTGCTATATATAAGCAGGATAATTAAAAAACACATTTAATCAATTTGACGTAAAACAGTTTGATAAAAAATTATGTAGATTCATTAGCCTGACATCTATCTTACGGTATACATGGTAACATGGTAAATTAGTGGTGCATTTCATCGTCCTTTAAGGCAAATTGTTGGAACAGCGCGTACCGTAACCGTAATTTAAATTTTTTAAATGTTTTAAATTTTTTGAAAATGTTATTTTTTTTCGAAGCATAATAAGCGCCGCGTCGCAGTACATCGTGTAAACATTAGTATGAAACCCATAGAAATATAAATACAATTTGTACGAGTTATTAAAATCTCTATAAATTATCTCATAATTTGATATGCATAAATCTAATGACTATTTTTGAACGTCAAATGACATTTCTTTTTAACTTTTTTTATTGGATCTCTAAAACCGCTAGATCTGTCTTCCCAAAAATTTAATCAGTTCTTCATTTTGTCAGTACAATTAAAATCTTTTTTGAATTCTAATCGGACGCTCCGTTCTCTCAAATACTGAATTACCATTTTTGGCACTCATTGCCTCGTATCTTTGAAACTGCCTTTGCCAAAAACTAATCAGCACGATACGCCAATAATACAAATCAAAGGATTTTTGAATTATTCAAATCGATCCGTGTTCCCTAAATCATCGACAAAAATTTGTATCCGAACACACACACACAAACATACATTCATTTTTTCTAAGGTATGACAAAATGATCAGAAACCTCTGAAACGTAAAGTTATAAAAAAATATAAAGTTATATAAAAGATTTTTTTGCGATTACTATAACTTTCCCTACGGAAACAATGCATAGTATTAATGTAATCTAAAAATTTCTAAATTTTGATGTGTTTTTCAGTGCAGCAGTAGCGCGCGCCGCCCGCGGCTGGAGTTCTGGCGGCAATCGAAAGGGGCGAATGGGAACACTGCCCACGCTGGACCCGCACGTCACGCAGCGGGCGCTGCTGCGAGCGCATAAAGCCGCTGCCGAACAAGACCATTCCCCTTGGACAGGGCGGTCAAGTAAGAATTTTCTATAGTTTTAAAAGTCAACATCGGCATTTTTGATTGATTAGAGCCATCGTTTTACCGTTGCATTAAATGGTGCATTGTTACATAACAGCACTTACACAAAAGACATTGAAATATTTTTCCACACTTTTGTCTTCATCCGTTATCCCATGTTGTTTTTGTATATCATGATAATATCTAAGTAATAAGATCAAAATAACATTGAAAAAATAAAGTAATTACGTAGTCTACAAAAGTAAACTTTCTCAGAAATTATAATAATCCATTACTAATCCATTACTATATAATATTAACACATTAAAAAAGTGTTAAATCAATCTGTTTATCTCTTCTATTGATAATTTAACGGATGCCATCCAAAACAAGCAAATAATCTACTAACCGATCTCAAAGCACTACAATTTCACGTGCATGCTAATGTTATTTTAAATTGCCGTAAAACTTCCAGGTCTTCTGCAGTATCATTTTTACTATATCCTATGATTACCCATACATTCTACTTATGCCTATTGTAAATTTAATTGCTTCATTTATTATACCTCGATGTATTGAAATAGTCAATATGATCGTAATTATTTTATAGCATAATTACATTTACCGTACGGGTTCCTATTCTTAAATACAAAACAGTAAGCGCTGTTATAATATATTATTACCAGACACATATTTGACGCGTACATTTCAATCAAGTCCAGTCTCATTCGAATGATTTATAGTCGTTCTTTATGATTTTCTTATAACTATATCGTTACAAATGACACCGTGCAGTGAGGTAATCCGTCTTTAAATGAAACAACTTTATTTCACAGTTTTTATAATATCACACAAATTAAATCTTTTATGCAAATAAAGAATTCTGGTATGTTTTTCTTCTTAAACTTAAACTGATTGATAGAGCTAATTCAAATGTCCTTTATACTAAACATTTCTTTTTTTAATGTTTAAATATATTTAGTGTCAATGGCTTTTTTTAAATATGTAGGGGAGCAGGGGCTATATGCAAGGGGGGTAACTAGTAACAGGAATTTTTCAATAGGATCTTAAATGATATTAAAATATTTTTCTGTCTCGATTGGACATGTAAACCGTTCTGCATAAATTGTCACAGCTAGTGACGGTTTTCGTTATTATTATCGACTAATTTAAAATTTTATATATCTTATTGGGTTTCAAATTTATCAATAGTTGATAATGTATATCAATTTTTGTGAATGCTAAATTGTATAAATAATTATATTGATCAATGTAGCAAAATCACACTTGGTGTTAGTTGAAATAAAACCTTGGGGCTATACAAGAATTATATACAGATTCAAGTGAAGAATGTGGGCAAATGTAAATTATGTTACAGGGGACACTATATCTTTTGTTTGTACATATTATGATAATATTTGAAGTTTATGTTGATTTATGATAAAAATTTATATTATAGGAGACATTATATTTTTTTCTAATAATTATAATTTACGTTGATTTATGAAAAACTACTTAGAAACAAGTCAATTTTCGTTAAAATATGTAAAGAATAAATTATCGGGGGCATTATTCTCGTTTTTTGAAATGTCTTGGTAGATGTTACAACTAGTCCCAAATACGAGGTCAGTTGAAACACCGCACTTTTTACGGAAAATGATGAATTTTGAAATAATGAACAACAGTTGCAGAATTATTGATTGGAAGAAAAAAGTTGCTGTTACCATTGTTACAAGTTGCTGTCAGCAACTATCCATCTTCATTTCGTAGAAATATAATCAGTGGATTTCAAGATATATTAATTCGAAATAAAACTGCTACAGCCAGCACCTAGCTCCCTCAATATTAATATTCATCTGAGCAAGGAGTATAAAAGTACACTTTTAAAAAAATATAACAGTTTTAATATGTTTAGTGAAAATAAATTGATTGAAATAAAAAAATGTTAATATATTTTGATTTCTACATATCATACAAAATATTTAATTATATTACGGAAAATACTCATAGTCGTGCTATTTAAATTGAATGTTTTCTACAGAACTCTTGTTGGACGGTTTTGACTCGCCTTACAATTTACTAGTATCATTTCTATGGGATGTCTGTTTTATCAGAAGATGTGTTTTTAGAAGAGTGGGATATGACAGCATTATTTACTTGCTAATAGAGCCGGATATAGATAATACCCCACCTAATGATTATTATTTAGGGTCAATTACTAGAGTTGTTTCTTAATATTACATTAGTGTAGCTCGTACCAAATTTGATCAAACAAACGTTTTATTTCATTCTTGTCGAATGCAATTTGCGAATAGCAAAAATTGGCTCATGAGTACATTTTCAGTTATTCAAATATCGTATTCGTGAACGTGAACTAGGTTCTATTTACGAAAACGAATTCCGGCCACTTGACAAACAGGCAAAACTGTGTCAAAGAAAAGTGAACACAATGCCTTATATGAAGAGGCTACAAATGGTCGCAAATCACATGCCGGACTAACTTGTACATTGCGATGTTCGAATCGTATGAATCTACAATAATCTAGATTAACATCGTTTACAACCTTTTTATGACATGGTGGTCTGAAATGAGAAAGTCATTTGACCGGTATCACGTGTTTAAAAGCATTTACGTTTACGTACATTCGTCGTTTTATAATCGTGCTTTATGAAAACAGTGACTTGTTTATATGGCTTCTTTTTAATTCAGAACGTTTAAGTTAAATTTATGCACTCATTGCATTTCTTATTATATCACGATACGTCTCCATTCTTCGTATGTGTAAATGGAAAGCAGACTAATATCCTATATTTTACTATGTCAATTATGACTACTTATACGATTTATTATACTGCACATACGTATTATTAAACTTATTAAACTATTTAGTATGTTTATTAACTTTACCGTAAATGAATATAGTGTATTGAGGAGCTTTAAGGTCCGCGGATAAAAGATTATCTCAAAAACAAGTAAAGTTAAGAATTTTGTAAGAATAATATTTGAAAACAAAGGGGAAAAGATGTGTAATCAGCCATCACCTTGATTCTAACAGTGTTGCTATCGGGAAATGAACGACAATGTTTGAAAATCGATAGCAAAAGTATTTTCTTTCGTTGTTAGTTTTTTTGGTTGTGAACACTGTTGCTTAGTTTACGAGATCTTAATATAATTTTTAAGTATACATTATTTAATTGTTTTATAAGATGTATTGTTAATTTTAAGTTAGATTCAACAAGTTTTATAAAAGCTCACACCTGTGTAAGATAAAAAGGATCAACGTAAAAAATAGCAAATGTAAATGTAAATTAAGTTGATAAAAGCAATTTTACAAGGTATAAATTAAATTAATAGTTATTCCAACTTTGCTGATGAATATTCCTGAGTTGGTCTTTCATACCTCTGATTGTTAAATTCTTTACAATTTTTTTTTAATTTTCGGTGTGAGAAGATGCATTATCTAATGACGAAAGCTTTAAGTGTAAGATATTATTTTAAAAAGCATATTTGCAAACGCGAAGAAAATTTCTAACATCCACTGTTTGAATACAAGTTGGGCGATCGTGGCCTTGTGATAGAAGTGTTACTAAAAAGCAAGCTACATTTTACAACAAATGCCAATACATATTTTATAATGAGATTAGTTATTTTCATTTACCAATTGTATAAATTATAATTGGTAAAATGATATACCATAGGGGGAAGTCCCGCAACGCCGGACAGTACCTAATACCGGACACTCTATTTAACACGTATTGTTTAAGCGAGTATAAATCTTTTTATATCAAAATAGAGGTGAAAGGGACGCGGGGGGCACACAGGTGCAGGATCATACGCCAAGACTCACCTACGACGCACACGGCCACGGCGGGAGCAACCCTTTGCTGTTTTAGGCGCAAAATCACGGCGTCACCTAAATATCAATTGAAGTAATTCTACTGTTTTTATGCATTTATATTTGAATGACATTTAATGATAAAAGTAGTACTTGATTGTTATCCGTAAAATGGTGAAATATTATTAGATATTTTAAACAATTTTAGTAGGCCCCACTAAATGAACGAACATGTCTGTCCCTTAGCGCCGGACAGTAGACATATTGATATTTCTTGTTAGAATTGACGTAATTTATTTTAATTATTTAATTTTGTTCTGTGTGAGTTCTAAAGGCCACTACATGCCCCCATTTTTTGTATTTCCTAGTCAAAGAATGGAAATCTTATGATGAATGCTCCAGCTGAGAGCATCGGTGTGGCTCAGCCGAAAGGGTGGATGAATAGTGATTTTTTTTTGCATTATCTAAGAATATTTGTCAAACACACATGTGCAGACACTCCAGAGTGTGGAGATGGCTACATATGTGTTCAATGCTGGTTATTTTGAAATGTCCGATACTAGGTGCCACTTTGTAAAATCATATTTTGTTACCAAAGTTGATTGATAGTATTAATTATTTTTCAGCATGAGTTGCATTTTTGTTAATTTAGTTTGATTTCTAACTTTGTTATCTAACATAAGTCATAATTTAATAAACATTTCGTAAAATATTTTTTGATTTATTTATAATTAACCTTAGGTGCCCGTCACTCGGGGACTTCCCCCTATATATATACTATTCCGAACAATATAATAATACATACTATTACTAATACGAAATTTTGATGTGTAGATTAGTTAATTGAACTATGTGTTTTCAATCAAAAATTAATGTATGTTAACTAGTATGCGAAATTTTTGACAAGATTAAAAATCATCTAGCAGAATTTATATTAGATTATACTTCTGCATATCTATTGTAAACTTCAATGAATTAATGCCAGTAAGATAATCATACAACACATTTATTTTACAAACATTGTTATTTGCTATAAAAGTACAATATTTTTTAGATAAACGAACATATTTTTATATTGGATCTCTTAGTTTTTCTAGGCTTAGCTTAAAAATATTTTAGGTAATTTATGTTTGTACATATAATTCTACGTAATGCTACCGCATGTAGCACGCGACCTCTGGCTTTTCCTTCGACCTCGGCATCCGTTGAGCTACTCAACACGTATCCTCTAGTAGCATTCTTGCTTACCTGATAATGTGAAATATTTACAATCATTACACGGAAGAATGCTAAAGAAATGTTCGGATGTTCGGATGTCTCATGCGCATTATTAGTCATTAACGAGCGGTCTATTTAGCGTCTGCCGCCGCGAGGATGACTGAATGGCCATTGTCCCAGTTACGCGACCGCTGACTCTGACACTGGCCGCGATCGAGCCAGGTCGACAGCTGGACTCGAACTTACTTGCGCATTGGTAACCCTTAACACCGAATGGGTCATTGTTTAGGGTTCCGTACTGGAATGATTCAAAATTTTTTAAACACAATTTATAAATTAGTGGGGTGTATGGCATCGTGCCTTAAGGCAAATTGCTGAAACTTCCCGTACCGTAACGAAATGTTCGAGGATTATTAAATGTTTCCAAATAATTTTTTATGAATATTGTACAATTGTCCAATATTTATAAGAATTATATAAACTGAATTGCAAAGTTAAAATTATTTGTTAGAAGTATATTAGAACTTTAGTAAAAATTAAAAATAAAATCTGAATTATTTTTGCCAAAAAAAAATTTACAACAGATTTTTTTCCAAAATCAATTATTTTGTTAAAACAAGCAGAGAGTTCTTTGAATCATTTAAATCGGACGCTTAGTTCTCTCAAAAACTGATATTTTTTGCACATTTAGCTCTGTATCTTCGAAATGGCTGGGCCTGCTTTTGCCAAAAACTAATCATCTCTTATCCTAATCCTTACAAATTGAATGTTTTTTAAATCATTCAAATCGGATGCCCCGATCTCTCAAAAACTCGATTTCTATCTTCTGCACTCTTTGCTTTTTATCTCCGTAACTACTGGACCTGCCTTTGCCAAAAACATCTCCCTATCAATGGGAATCGAATGTTTTTTGAACCATTCAAATCGGTTGATCCGTGCGCCCGAAAACGTAACTAGAAATTTGTATCCATACATACATACACACACACACATCCATTTTTCCTGAGGTATGCCAAAATGTTCAGAAACCTTCAAAACGTCGAGAAATGCAAAAATTTTCAATTTCGATTTTTTGACGATTACAATAACTTACCCTAAGAAGTTAATTATACAATAACAAGTCTGTGGTCTCTAGAGATATATTTTAAATTAAAAGTTTATATTGTCATTCAAAAATTATTTTAAATTTATTTTAAATAGATTTTGAAGTTATTTGTAATTGCATTTGCAGACCAATAAGTAGTAATTGACGTAAAAGATAAAAAAATGCTAATCATGAGTCTGACTTCCATGCATAGCATAAATCAGGTACCTGTTCTATTGTATCACAAATGTATAAATTAGAAATGAAAAGATAATTATAGCGTATTTAATCTTTATTACAATTTTAGTATGCTACTTAATAACAATTATGCCAACAACTTTTTTAAAAGCGTTTGCTGTTACGGTTTCGTGTTTCATCTATTTTATATAATTGCTTATAATTTTATGTAAATTTAAGTATTGGGTGATTATTTTCATTAATTATAGAGTTTCCATAATTTATTTTCAAAATCATTTATGTAGAAATAATCATGAAAGATGTTAAGATAGGGCTTGGCACAAAGGTCCAGTTTGACTATGAGAACATTATATTGTGAAAAGAAAACCAAACCAATTATATCACAGCAAATAACACATATCAAACAACTATCTGACTGTGTTCAGTAAAACTTCCTGCTAATCTATGATTGTTGTAAATATGTTTTGATTGCTGTTTTTCAAAAAATTGTCACCTGGTTCTTTCCTTAGCCGGGGTAAAATAGGACGGCCAGAAGGCAAACAGGTCCTATGTCATATTCTTAATTTTAAAGGAATTCTACGAAATAATAGCTACATTATTCAATCACAATATGAATTTCATAGATACATTTTTTACAGAGATTTTTTTTATTTCTTTTATTCACGATTATATTTACAACTGTCCAGTTCAGGACATTTAGTAAATTTGTTGTATACTATAGTGACATGTTGGAAAAACAACTCAATAGTTGTAAAAATTTCAATAATATTTTATTGATAATAATATAAACTTAACTATTTTCTTATAAATAATTTCCTATGATTTATAACTATGTCATTTCAATCTTTATCAGGAAAATTGATGACCTAAATCAAGTGGCGATTTTCTCTTCAATCTACGACGATAGTTTCTTGTTATTAATGACATTTTGGAGAACTAGAGAATTTGGATGACTGATGATCTCGTTTCTATATTTTTGTTATTACATCTTTTATGGTAGGTGTGTTTGTGTCGAGATGAATCAGCCAGTTCGGGATATATTTTGGTGCCCCCAAGGCAATTTTCAAAAATTTGTTCTGAAATTTTTGTATTATTTCTATATTAGTCTTATGCACACTACCCCATAATTGTATTTCATAGCACCAAATTGGTTTGAATAATGTTTTATATAAAAGCAGCTTATTGTATGGGCTAAGTTTGGATTTAGTTCCAAATAACCAGTAAAGCTTTTTTGTTTTTATCTCGAGCAGTTGCCTCTCTTTTATGTGGACTCGCCAATTAGGGTTTCTATCGAGGTATATGCCGGGATAACACTGTATATAACCTGAATCTGTTATTTCGTCAGAAATATTTATCAGCAGAATTGGAATAACAATTTATTTAATTTATCTTCTATAAAATAGCTTTTTTAACTAAATTTAATATTTTATTCACTATTTTTTATTGTTTACATTTTTGCCAGAGTAAAGCTTTGGTTGGTCATTTCTACCACACCCACGTGTGAGCTTTTATATAAAAACTGTTGAAACCAACTTAAAATTAACAATACATCTTTTAAAACAATTAAATAACATATAGGTACTTAAGAATTATATTCATGCCTTGTAAACTAAACAACAGTGCTCACGACCTCAAAAACTAAAAACGAAAGAAAATACTTTTGTTGTGGATTTTCAAACATTGCCGTTTGTCTCCAGATAGTAACGTTCTAAGACTTAAGGTGATGGCTGATTATACATCTTCTTCCCTTTACTTTCAACATTACATTACATCACATTATTGTTAAAAAATTCTTAACTTGAACCGTTTTTGAGATGTCGGTGGTGGACCTTTTTACCCGTGGTCTTTTTATTTTTTTCTAGTATTTCTATTTTTGTGGGCAATATTTCGTCTGTCAACATTTGCAGCCATCGATTGCAAATGCCGGCGTTTAACGTTGTTCCGCGTGTGCACTACCGGTTCCGTCCGACATGCGGATACTGTGTCACCCGGTTATTCGAATAATTCTCACTGCTCTACAAATAATCTTTTTTTAAAAATGAATAGTGATATAATGATATAATGCTAATCTGAAATATTTCGCTTAGATCAACGATTGGTTTTAAATTCAACTGACTATTATTCTTTTCACGATGAGAGTGTTTTCGTAACGGATCCGGCACAACAACATATTTTAAAATTTTTCAATTTAAACATTAAAAATTACTCTTCTAAAAAAACCAAAAATTTTGATAAAAAATGATAATTCTTAATTGTTTAACTCATAGTGATAAATATTGAAGCAAAGTTCGTCACAAAATTCATTAGAGATAGACCAACCGTTGGGTTACCTTTTGAAAAAAGCTCCATCTTTAATAAATATCATTACATCATGAACATTCTATAGATTTTTCAAATATAAAGAATATATTAAACAAATTTTTCTTCCCGAATATCAGTTATTGCTTGTTAGATACATGACCTATATTTTACATAGCGTTCTATTAATTTAAAACAAAAACACCGGCAATTAATACAAACAAATTACAACGCAAAATAAGTTATAAACGCAGTACAAACACTTGCGTTTGCAAGTTGCATAATTACAAATTACAACTATCTGCACAAATGATTAATATTAAAATTGTAGCAAATTAGAATCATTTTTTCGATTAATGACCGTGCTCATACCAGTAACCAGTTAAAAAATGATCTTTTTGCATAGTTTCACGTTTTTTGTGAGTTTTACGCCAACAATTTCAATTCAGAGAACACAGAATTTATTTCAATTAAATAACATAGATAAGTTGGTTGGGCGAAATCTCGAATCATAAAATCATTATATTCAATATTTATTTAAAACGTAAATTTTGCATTTGTAAAAAAGCCAACATTTACTCAAGTATAGGTGCTAATTGATTGTAACGGATGCCAGAAGCCATGTTTATGTATATCTCAAATTTTTATATTAAAGATATTGCTAGCATTGTTCGTCGAGAGGGAAATGTATTAATGTCGGCAACGTGAGAGCTATGAGCTTTCATTCCACTGATGTCAGGTAGTAGTGACATCGGTTTTCACTTGAAAATATAGATAGCAATATTTTTCCGAGTGAAAATTGTTGCATCAAATTAAAAATCATTATTATTAGAGAAATTCTTATAATAAAATTTATCAGAGATAGGCTAACCGTTGGGTTACACTCTAAAAAGGCCCCATCTTTGATAAAAATTTACAACTTAGTATATGCAACTTTTTGAACCACTAGCAAATTTTTACCATAAAATCAAATATAATATTTATATTAAGTTAGTCTTATTTAGTAATATTTTTTTTCAAAAATTTAAAATTTGTTTTACTTAAGTAAATAAATTGAAGAATTAAATTATCCGTTTTTAGATTTTGTTTCTCTAAATTTAAGAAATAACAAAACGTTTTTTTTTCACTTTTAAATTCTGCAAACTCGCATTATCTTTATATTGTAATTATGCCCTTTGCATAATTACAATATAAATTACCTTCCATTATGATTATGTGAAATTCATGTGTTCAGATAGAAATTTTTCTAATTTTTTTGGTAATTTACAAGTACTATTGAAGTAGATCATAACAAATCAAGAACAACAGTACAGTTTTTTGTAACACTTATCACAATGAGTAAAATTGTTTAAAGTAATTAACATCTCTAATGCGAACAAGAACGAAAATGCTTCTTATTCTCACTAAAATGTTTCAAATTATTTCCCGAAATTTAGTACTTTGTGTTCATTTATATTTAAATACTCTATTGCTATACGCACATATATTTTAGATTTTAATTCTATGTAAAAATATATAGCTACCGTTGCAAGCATGTATGAAACAAACAACTATTAAATTGTGTTTAGTAAATTTTCTAGAGCTTAGAACCAAAAACAACTACCAACGAAAAAGATTACTTTTAGTATGAATACTGATACATCTCCGTTTATCTCTTTTTAGCGACATCGCAAGAATTAAGATAATGGCTGGTTACACATCTCCTGTCGTTTACTTTTAAATAGGATCATTAAAAATAATATTACTTAGCTTGTTTTTATATAATGATGGTGGATCTTTAAGCCCCGCTTTACCCAATATTAGAAATATAAAGTGAGTAATACCTTGAGATGTATTGAAAAAATCATTAGCTTCAGTATATTTTTCATAACATATCCATTCAAGCTTAAAATGCTTTTTATGTCTTGAAGCGTAACTCCATTGCAATGACCAATGACCAACACCATACGGTCTGAAAGGTTTCAGATATTTTCTCGTTGTCAGATAATTATCACTAAAAACATAGACTTATCTTTTTGACAAAATATGCCGAAATAGATGTAATAAAAAATATTTATTTTTGGTCACACCCTGGGGTTGTTAAATGGTACATTAGTTCCTATGAGCACGAACACCAATAATAGTGTTAATGTTTTGGATGCAGACAGATGCATGTGAAAAAAATCTAGTTCTATTAAATTAAAACAGTTTCGTTCTATATTCGCGAGATGTAGTCGGATATTTCATGCCAGTAATATATGCTATAATAAATTATTCTTATTCTTAAGGAAATGCGCTTTTGTTTCAGAAACGCTGGCGAATTGTAAGTCTTTTGTTCTCATTGTATTATATGGCACATAGGTATATTAGAAGCTGTTTCTGCTTCCCGATCATAAAATATCCACACAATGAATGTAGTATAAATTTAATTCATCGTAAACCGCGATTGATAGATTTATGTTACGCTTTAGTTTTTTTCTCTTCATTACGCGAAGCCAAGTGCGATTTTAAAAAACATTGTGTGAAGGCTTTTATTAGTGCACAACCACGTACCACTTAACGGTAATTTTTTTGTCATAAACTAAACGATGTTTTCATCGATTTAAAGAAAATTCAAATGTAATTAAATACTTGTTTCTATAACGGTAGTTTTTTTAGTAACTAGATTTGGTAACACTCAAACGACCATGAAACAAAAGACATACAACATGAATCGTTCTCATGGTCTACTGGCTAGAGATTATTTCTTAAAGAGGTACAACTTCTATCAATTATGTTTTTTCATTGTTTAATTAATACTTATTGTCATAAGCAATTTGATGGTACTGATGAGTGTTTCTAATTATACGGCAGTTATGCCTTTGTCACAAAATTCTTTCTATATATAATGTTTTCTATATTCCTTTTTTTTGGTTTTGCTAGTTTTTGTAGGAAAAATTGAATAGAAAAGTAATAGATATATGGATTGCTAAAGACAAAATCAAACTTGTTTATCTAATTTAATAAGCAAAGAAAGAAATTTTCCCGAAAAATTAGTTAATCAAATAGGTATCTGATTGTAGCATTCAAACAACGAATCTCAAAATATAAATTGAGAAAATTAATAAATTATAGTACTGATTTATATTGTTCAAAATTTGGTCAATATTTATTGGCTAACTATAATTTTTTTCTGAATATTGCTCTATCATATTATTATTTAAGAAAATTTTAATTTTTTTTAATTTGAAAATTTGCTTTATTTGACCTAAATGCATGCATTGACTTTTATATAAAGATACAAATTGTATATACACCTATTCTGGGAATATCATTATACTATCATAATATAATATTGTTTGCATATATATATATTTGTTTCAATTAATTTCTATAAGTATGAAAAGAGCTATTAAAAACATACTGTCATCATTATTTCCGAAAAGTTTCTTAATTGCAAAGTAATTTCAGTCGATTTAGTAAAATAAAGCGACTAACGCCACAGATGCTGAGCTCGCATATCATAATTAACCGTTCGTTTGATCACTATTTTTTTCGTATCATCTGATCGGATTTTTCGATAACTCCTTCGTGTGACATCCACGTTGAACACTCAGAAAGCCGTTAGCTAAAATCTTGTATAAGAATGAGCATTCTTCGAATTCCTGCCTTATATGTAACATTTACCAACATTTTAGTTATATATATATATATATATATATATAAATAAATTTAGAAATATGAACAAACAATACTCTTTCTGCACTAATTTATTAAATAATTTTATTTTTACAAATGTTTCGAGACTAGGTTTGTCTCATCATCAGTATATTATAATTTAAAAACCAAAATATGTATATAGCATATTATTAACTTCACTTTTTCACCTTCTTC